TCAAACGTTATATGTGTTGCTAATGTGTAGGCTACAGTGGGTTATTCTTTAGGGGGTACAATACTCTAGGATTTCATACTTGTACTCTCATCTTCCTAGTTCAATCACTTTCTTGTTCTTGACATAGTGCTCATGCTTAATATCACTTTTTCCTGCTATCGAAAAAAACTCGCTATTTGTTGAAGTTACAGTTATTAAACAGTTTAGTCCTTTTGATTGGACATTTGTGCTTTCTTATTATTAATTTATTTGAAAAAAATGTCTAACGATCAGCTTTAGTGGAAATCAACCGTTTATACCTAGGTATCGGTGTTCCAAAAAACACAACACACTGTAACATAACAACGCAAGGCATCGACGACTAGATTCATATGGAAGACATGTCGTATCATGAAAACATGTTGTTTTAGTTTAATGAAATATACCCTTATTGTTATTCAGAATGTAGTAATATATCAACTAAATAGTGCTAAACTCTATGTAGTAGCATAAGTCTATCCTCGCACATGTTTTCTTGCTCTCAAGTCTGAACCATCCTATCCACCTGACAGATGCTGCGGATCACACCAGGCATGTCGGTCTTGCTTAGGATGTAATCAGTGATTGAAACCTCGCTCATAATAACTTACATACGTTGTGTTGGCGTTTCGTAGTAGCGTAGGCCTATCCTTGCACAGATTCACCCGCTCTCACGTTCGGAACATCATATATCCTGCCAAGGTGCTGTGAATAACGCCAAACGTGACCAGCACGCTTAGAAGGTAGTAAATATTTGAATGATAAAAAGAAACCTTGTTGGAAACAACACACGGACGTTGATTTGGCGCAACTTGTCGCACAGCCATATCCTTGCACAGGTTTCCCTGCTCTCATGCTCGGAACATCATGTCTCCCTGCCAGATGCAGCGAATGATACCAAACCTGACCAGCACGCTTATAATATAGTAAATGCTCGAATGGGCAAAAGAAACCTTGTTTAAAACAGCGAACAGGCGTTGATTTCGCACAACGTCTCGCATATCCCTATCCTTGCACTGTTTCAGGCCATCGAACGGACAAACAAGCGTCAGGTGCTGCGTGAATGTGCGAGTGATCTCAAACTGGTTCCTATGGCAAGAAAATACGATGTAGTAGAGAACAGTATGAAGAAATAGTGGTAAAAAAGGCATCCAGACGTTGGCGTAGTGACGTGTTGCGCACAGACCTATCCACGCACGGATTCAGGCCAGCAAACGCACGAACATGCGCCACGAGCTGCGTAGTTGTGCGAACGAGGTCAAACAAGTTCCTATTGCAAGGGAATAGGATGTACTAGGGAGATGTGTGAATACGTAGTGGTAAAAAAGGCATCCAGATGTTGGCGCAGTGACATGTTGCGCACTGGCCTATCCTTTCACGGATTCAGGCCAGCAAACGCACAAACATGCGCCACGAGCTGCGTAGTTGTGCGAACGAGGTCAAACCAGTTTCTATGGCTAGGGAATAGGGTGTACTAGGGAGCTGTTTGATGAAATAGGGCTAAAAAATGCATCTAGACGTTGGCGAGCTTACATGTTGCGCACATACCTATCCTTGCACAGATTCGGACCAGCAAACGCACAAACAGGCGCCACGTGCTGCGTAGTTGTGCAAACGAGGTCAAACCAGTTTCTATGGCTAGTGAATAGGATGTAATAGGGATTTGAGTGATGAAATAGGGCTAAAAAGGGCATCTAGACGTTGGCAAGCTTACATGTTGCGCAAATGCCGATCCTTGCACAGATTCCCATGTTTTTTTTGCATTTTCGGAACATCACAACTCGATTCCAGTTATGGCGAATGACATCTTACCTGACGAGCACGCTTAGTATGTAGTAAATGCTTCAATCATCTACAAAACCATCGTATAACATAACAAACGCACGTTGATTTGGCACACTGTGTTGCACACCCCTATTCTTGCACGGTTTCGAGCCCTATCGGTTGACGATTCTGCGTCACTCGCTACAATATAGGCGTATTACAAGCTCTTATAGTATTTAGGAGTCACCATGCAAAACGGTTAACCAACCAGGAATCCACCTCACCAACGGGCCGAACGAGATGAACGGCTCGTTTGATGCTATGTATCTCAATGACCCGGTAACGCTGTCTTACTGCAGGCCACCTAAGTCTAGTGCACCCCGTCAACTTATCCTTTCTAGGCTGGATCTGGTAGTACTTGATATATGCGTACTCCATGGTCCTCCCATCTACTTTGCAGTGAAATAGTAAAAGAACCTTAGCGTACCACTCTTCCGTCCCACTGTCGGTCTCCCCCTTCACCACCACGTCTGAGTACCATGGACGTCCATGGTGTATTGGCAGGGCACATACACGATGGGGCAGTCGGCTGTACTGCGCGTCAACTGCTGCTGGCATGGCCAACTCCCAGTGTACCTGCAGACATTACAATAACAATGGGCTTAGAGGTGATGTCGCCCTAGTGAACGGTACTTTATAGCAAAAAACATGGTACCTGTATGCTATTGATGTTCTCGCCCTTGTTGTTGCACGCAGGGGCAGCGTCGAGGGCCCCTCTTAGGTGTGCCAAATCTGCCCCAATTTCCTTCTCCAGCTTCTCATCACGTTTCGGTTGGGCGGCGTCCGGGAAGCAAAAAGGAGCAACTGTCCGACCGCGAGGGACGTGTAGGAGCCAAGATCGTCGCGAGAGCACACGAACGCCTGTCCGCTGAGCCTGCAGACGTTAATAGCAATGCACATACACGTTTGACTTTCACGTCGTACTTGACATGCAGACTTGCAAATAGAGGAATTAGCTCACCTTGATCATGGCTGTGTCGTACGTCTTCTTCTTGGCTAGCATGGGTGCAATGGACTGCAAACGCAAGCGCTGTACTTCACTCTGTACCACCTGCGCGTTCACACTACGCTTATTCGAGGAGCGATAGGGAGTTTTTATGTACTCTATGTGCAAGTGCTCGTAGAGTTGTGCAGAGTAGTGCCTGGCAAGCCTGAACGCCTTATCGTATCTATAAAGTGGCTAACGAGATGCATCTTGATGAAGTTCCAGTTCGATGTCTGCGGGAAATGTGTAGTCAAACCGTAGAGCATCCTGCGCGACAATTGGGTCGTGAACACACCCAGAATTAGTAGGCTGATTGCGGCATGTCATAGAGCTTCGAATATATAAGCAACTCACCGTTGAGCCTTGGTCTTCAAATCGTGCAGACTGCCATCAGTGTGCTCGCATGCACGTGCGCACTCCAAGTACCACTTGATGTACGAAACCAAAGCTTCCATTTGGTCATCCGTGATGCACCCTTTCGCAATAAAGGGCAGAACCTGCATCACAGAGCGATGCTCGAACGCTTGGTAATTGGCACCTTTGCCGAAGTATTCACCCGATGGCAACCTCATGCATCCACCACGTGTGGACTTTCTAAGCTGTTTTAGACGTTGATCTAGCAGCTTCATCTTCCTGGGATAGTTTTCCCTAATGTGCGCTCGAATGCTATCCACAATGTGCTCAAAAGGGCCTAGGTCGGCTTGATGCATGATATCAGGAAGCACCGCAAGATAAGGGTTGAGCAAGCTCTCCGCTTCCCACCGCCATCCCCAAAGGTAACTCTGCACGTAGATAGCATACGATAGTTAGACGAGGGTTGTAACATAATCCAAGATGGAAGGGGAGTTTGGAACATACCTGGACCGGGTGAGTCGATATGGCGGCATCGCCATCCGGTTGGATCGTCTTTGTCCGCACCGAGAGGACAATGGCGCGTTGCTCCGATGGCGTCCGCACTTGAATGCGGTCGGTGAACAGCGCAAGCTTGTCCTTATGAACCTTGCATAGCGAGCAAGGAAAGTTCGTCGAGCCCGACTTCGTGCACGTTACCTTGCACGATTCCGGGTAATCCGTGACATGTGCATACATGGATGGCCACACATTGATGGTTTTCCCCGCCGAGTCGACCATGTCTATACCCGTATGAGAAGCACGCTTCAACCCCGCCAGCACCTCATTCATGATATAGTGGAAGATTAGAGTCCTATCTAGGGAATCATACTCTTCGGGATACTCCGGGAGCAATGCAAGCAAGACGTGCCCATAGGGCTTCCACCTATCGTCCTTGTCAATATTTCCTAGTGTCAAATACACTGGATGCCCTTTAGCCTTCCCGCGCTGATCCATATGGGTCTCATCACTTGCAAGAATGAGAGCAGCGACAACACCTTCCGGGTTGGCTTCACGTATCTTCTTTTGATCCTCCCACCATAGCGGGGTTTCGGGTGTTGAGAAAACTCGCATGGCTCCATCTTTAACAACACGGGCCTCCATGCTCATCTTTGGAGCGAGCTTGGGGTCCTTAAGTAGATCCTGAAGAGCGACCAGTCCATCGCAGTACCAATATTCGAGCCACGCCTTGTTGCCCGCTCGAACGGTATTGCGTCTCCACCCGCGATGCTTATCCGGGGCCCGTGATTTGACGTACTGTTGGACATCGCGCGCAGACTTCCATCCTGTCAGCTGAGAGAGCTCAAATGCATGGTGGAAGAGAATGTCAAACAAGGCTTTGATTGCCTTTTGGGAGATATTGTTGGCTAGCAACCAATGCGCGAATGCATCCATGCCGTTGAAAGGTGGTTCGGGCGACGTTGCAGCTCCTACGTTCTCAGGCAACACATTCCCATCACTCCCCTCCTGGATGTCGTCACGCACTACATAATCATCTGCATCACATGGTAAACTTGCATTTTCGGAATCACTAGAACTTACGTTGCTAGAAGCACTATCATCCAAATGCACCCCTGTCAAAAAGTCAGCCCCGGTACATGGCACTGGAAAAGCATGTAGATGTTCGTCAAGAGGGGTTGTCGTGGGCACGGCTAAAGTTGAAGCAACTGCAGTGGGAATAGGATTGGGTGCTACGGTGGGTATGCGGGGGCGTTTATGCAACCCTGGGTTACTTGTTAAGTACGGCGTAGGTGGCATTGCGCGCTTTGCAGGGCAGCTCGAGCTACGCATGTGACTCTCCATGCCCTGTTGGGTTAAGAAGGTGTGGACCTTGCAGGCAGGGCAGCGGTAGCTCATCTGAAAGTTGCATGACCGAGAAGGACAGAGGGAGGTTGCAGAAGAAAGAAAGGGAGGGGGTGAGAGTGAGCAGGACAAGCGGGGGATTTGAGGCAGATGATGAGTGATTGGGCAGAGAGGGAGTGAATGGGGCAGAGAGGGAGTGTATGGGCCAGAGAGGAAGTGAATGGGGCCGAGAAGGAGTGAATGGGGCAGAGCGAGAGTGAACGGGGCAGAGAAGGAGGAAATGTGTCAGAGAGGAAGAAACTGGGGCAGAGAGGGAGTGAATGGGGCGGAGAGGAAGTGAATGGGGCAGAGAGGGAGTGAATGGGGCAGAGAGGGAGCGAATGGGCCAGAGAGAGAGTGAATGGGGCAGAGAGGGAGTGAATGGGGCAGAGAGGGAGCGAATGGGCCAGAGAGGGAGTGAATGGGACCGAGAGGGGGTGAATGGGGCAGAGAGGGAGTGTGAGGGGCAGAGTGAGAGTGAATGGGACAGAGAGGGAGTGAATGGGGCAGAGAGGGAGTGAATGGGGCATCAAAGGAATGAATGGGGCAGAGAGGGAGTGAATGGGGCAGAGAGGGAGTGAGAGGGGCAGAGTGAGAGTGAATGGGACAGAGAGAATGTGCATGGGCCAAGATACGAAATGAGGAGAGGTGGGCGGGGGTGTTGTTTTGAGATACCTTGACGAATGACAGAGGGAACAGAACAGCTCTTCGCTCCACGAGGAGTGTTCGGAGTGTCACCGCTGCTCCAACAGGCAGCACCCCCTACGGTGTACTGGCCATGGAGATGGGGGGAAAGGGTGTCACAGAGCAAGTGGGGCTTAGGGAGAGTTAGAGCGGCAATGAGCGGGAATGCGAGAGTGGCAGAGAGAGGTAGCGCGAGAGCGGCAGGGAGCGAGAGAGAGATTGCGGCAGGCGAGAATGCGGCAGGGCGTGAGAGAGATAATGCGACAGAGCGAGAGAGAGAGAGAGAGAGAGAGAGAGAGAGAGAGAGAGAGAGAGAGGGGAGAGAGAGAGAGAGAGAGAGATAGATAGAGAGATAGATAGAGAGAGAGAATACGGCAGAGCGAGTTAGTGAGAGAGAACGAGAGAGTGTGACAGAGTGCTAGAGAGAATGCGGCATAGCGATCGAGAGAATGCGACAGGGGCGAGAGAGGGAATGCGGCAGGCGAGAATGCGGCAGGGCGTGAGAGAGATAATGCGACAGGGGCGAGAGAGGGAATGCGGCAGCGAGCGACAGAGAGAGAATGCGGCAGAGCGAGAGAGAGAGAGAGAGAGAGAGAGAGAGAGAGAGAGAGAGAGAGAGAGAGGGAGAGAGAGAGAGAGAGAGAGATAGAGAGAGAGAATGCGGCAGAGCGAGTTAGCAAGAGAGAGCGAGAGAGTGTGACAGAGTGCTAGAGAGAGAGAATGCGGCATAGCGATAGAGAGAATGCGGCAGGGCGTGAGAGAGAATGCGGCTCGGCGTGAGAGAGAATGCGACAGAGCGCGAGAGAATGCGGCAGAGCGCGAGAGAGAGAATGCGGGGTAGGCGGAGAAATAGAGAGGGAGAGCAACAGAGGGAGAGAAAGAGAGAGAGAGAGAGAGAGAGAGAGAGAGAGAGAGAGAGAGAGAGCAAGGGAAGCGGAGAGAGAAAAAGAGAGCAAGCGAAGCGGAGAGAGAGAGAGACAGAGCAACGGCTAGAGAGACAGAGAGAGTGCAACCGAAAGGGATAGAGAGAGAATGCCGGGTAGGCGGAGAGATAGAGAGAGAGAGAGCAAGCGAGGGGGACAGAGAGAGAGAGAGAGAGAGAGAGAGAGAGAGCAAGCGAGGGGGAGAGAGAGAGAGAGAGAGAGAGAGAGAGAGAGAGAGAGCAATCGAGGGGGACAGAGAGAGAGAGAGCAAGGGAGGCGGAGGGATAGAGAGAGCCACGGCGGGGAAGAGAGATAGAGTGCAACCGAAAGGTATAGAGACAGAATGCAAGGAAGGCGGAGAGAGCTCGAGCAAGGGAGACGAAGAGAGAGAAGTGAGAGCATGCTAGGCGGGGAGATAGAGAGAGCACGGGAGTCGTAGAGAGAGAGAAAGAGAGCAAGGGAGGGGGGCAGAGAGAGAGAGTCGGGGAGCAGTAAAGGACATACATGGTACAACCCTATGCTATGTTCGTTCACGTCACGTCAACGTCTAACGCGGTTTTGCTGAGGCAGTTGCCGGTGTCTACAACTCAAGATTTACACGGCGTGAGAACTATGTGGGGCGGTAGGCTCGTGAAAGGGAGGGAGGTAGAATTGCCGACAGAGAGCTCACCTTTTCGAGTCGTGGACACGTATGTGCCCTCTCTCTGGTCCTTTCGCGAACGCGTCACGTCGCTTGTTGCGCCAAGCTCCGTCAAAAGAGAGGCACCGCTTCCCCCTACGCCGCCTCGCTATGCCGTGCTTGTCGCAGCTTGTTGTGTTGCAGTCCGTGTCGCCGCTGATCCGCTTTCGCCAATGTCCAGGTCTTTTGCGGGGTCGCTTCTGGGATTGCTGTCGTGCAATTCGCCGGAAAATCAGATTTAGCACCTTATGGCGTTCGCCCGGCCTTGACGTCTCTTGCGGCGGCGACGCAGTGACGCCGCTTGGAGCTCTATCGCTGCGGGCAGTTCCAGTTCGAGCTGGGGTATTTTCGACGCACCGCAGGTGTCGTGACGATGGTGCACACAGTGAAGCCGTAAATCGCGCGGGATATCAGTGTACATGCAAAAACAGGGGTATCGCCGTTGCTTCAGCTGCTGCAGATTCGTCGCAGCTTAGCGCGACGCGGCTGCTAAGGCGACAGACGGTTGTTGCGTTATCTCTACAATGGAAGCCAGATTCACGTTTCTGAAGACCGAGTTGCCTAGATGTCGAGTGAATTATGGAGTGAAGCTCAGGGATGGGTGGAATGTGGATGGAGGAGTCACGGAGTCGCGCAGGAATGGGGCTTTCTGTGACAGCGCGATATGATGGGGTTCAAAAGCGGTGACGTGAGGTACATTTTTTTTGTTATACGGTATACGACGTTCCTGCACGATTCCAATGAGATGCACCAATAATTGTGGACCCGGAACGCGTTCTGTCGGCGAATTGATGAACCCGTGAGATGCGGGGCACTTTGGCAGATAATTATTTGCAAAAAAACAAACAGCAAAACTTTCTTATCCATAACTAGCTTCGTTACAACCGAACCACATATAGAACCAGTAACAGCATCTACAATATCACCATAACATTAAAAACAACACAATTCACAAAGATAACCCTAAATTTAACACGATGGAGAAAATTACTAACAACAATAGTATTATTTCACAAGTCATGCTATAACAATAACACGTTGGAGAATTAGTTATAAAATTCATCAATGTAAGGAATATATTCTTGATCTCTTGTGGTAACACAAGAAGTTACCAAAAACAAACAGCCAAACAAAAACAGCGCACATAGTACAACTGTTCCATAAATGGCATGACTGCAACATGGTTACATAAAGGGTTACCGAAGCTTGGATGACGTGGCAACAATCAACCGACATTTTCCCGTAATGGAGAATCTGCGTGCGAAGTGTTGGTTGGCAACAAGCCCCACACATTACCCAATCTATCGCCAATTCTGTCTGAAACATCCGACCAATGAAAACGCTCGAAAGCCTCCAAACACAAACACCACGTAAACTACTGAGAACCATGAATTGTTGTCCACGTGTACAGTGCGCAAGAGCAAAACGAGGTCAACAGAGATAAACGGTGATCCAGCGAGGTGGTCATAAACGGCTAGACAAGACAGCGACAATCTGCAGAGATAAACACAGTGCACACGATGGTAAACTGCCGTGAACAACGGTACACCGAATTTCACCTCATCAACCATCGAAAACGATCTCTCTACTAGACGAAAAATGACCCCCTCCCCCCCCCCCCCCACATACTCGGCAGTTTCACATTTTTCTGATGTGGTGAGAGGGAATGTGTGAGAGGGAATGTGGTGAGAGGGAATGTGTGAGAGGGAATGTGGTGAGAGGGAATTTGTGAGAGGGAATGTGTGAGTGGGAATATAATGTGATGAGAGGGAATGTGCCGGTGAGAGGGAATGTGGTGAGAGGGGATGTGGTGAGAGGGAATGTGGTTAGAGGGAATGTGGTGAGAGTGATTGTGGTGAGAGGGAATGTGGTGAGAGGGAAGGTGTTAGAGGGAATGTGGTGAGAGGGAAGGCTGGACAACCATTTGAGTCCCCTCTCTTCCAACCGCTGTACTTCTCTCCCCTCCCCTCCCCTCCCCCCCTCTCCTACCCTCCTCCTGCCGCCAGCGCAAGTCCTGCTGGACTGTCAGAAGGCGTGGAGCACAACGTTTGACGGCTGGGTGGTTGGTGGGGACTGCGACAATGCGAGCAACGTCACGTGCGATGCCCAGGGCATGATCACAGAGATGTGAGTGGACGTTTGTGAGTGAGATGTTAAAGTCACGTGAGTGGATGGACCTTTGATACTTGAGAGATGCGAGTGCACCTTTGTGGGAGACAGTAACAGCCATGTGTATGGAACTCAGGTAGACCTCGAAGGTTTTTAGACGCCCCAATCCCGCTCGCATCTTCCACCTCCACTCTCCCGCACCTTCCGCAAGCCACTGCTCCGCCCGCAGCTCATGCCTACTCGTTCGTAACTCCTTTCAGCCTTTTCCCGCTTCCCCTAACCTCCCCCGACCCCCCACACCCCAACCCCCCTCCCTCCCATACCCCCCAGCAACCCCAACCCCGCTTGCCTCCTCTTTCCCACTCCAACACTTCTGCACCCTCCCCCACCTTCCCGCCCCACCTCCCCATCTTCATCCATCTCCCATCTCCCACCTCTCTTTTGATGCCTTCATCTGTCTCTCACTCTCTCCTCTTCTCTCTTCCCTCACCCCTCTCTTCCTTCCCCTTCCCGCGCTTCTCTCACTCGCTCCCCATGATGATGTTAGTAGCACAGCACCGCTCCAGCAGCCCTGCTAAGCTGGTGCCTCAATTTGAGGTGACTTTTGAGTCGACTCGAAAGTCACCTCGCTCGCTCCCCATGATGCTGTTAGTAGCACAGCACCGCACCAGCAGCCCTGCTAAGCAAATGCCTGCCTGTGCAATTTGAGGTGACTTTTGAGTCGACTCGAAAGTCACCTCGCTCACTCCCCACGATGCTGTTAGTAGCACAGCACCGCTCCAGCAGCCCTGCTAAGCTGATGCCTGCCTGTGCAATTTGAGGTGACTTTTGAGTCGACTCGAAAGTCACCTCGCTTGCTCCCCACGATGCTGTTAGTAGCACAGCACCGCTCCAGCAGCCGTGCTAAGTTGGTGCCTCCCTGTGCAATTTGAGGTGACTTTTGAGTCGACTCGAAAGTCACCTCGCTCGCTCCCCACGATGCTGTTAGTAGCACAGCACTGCTCCAGCAGGGAGTTTCGAGACGTCTCAAAGCTTTTGCTCCCCACGATGCTGTTAGTAGCACAGCACCGCTCCAGCAGCCCTGCTACTAAGCCGATGCCTGCACGTGCAATTCCGAACAAACCTATGATATACTTTGGGAATGACTATCTCATGCCGTTTCTTTAATGATCACCTTCTGATTCTCCCAAGTTCCAAGAACATGCATGCATGCAACCTGATTTCTCTC